TCAATGGAGGAAAATGCAAAAATGGTTGCTGTGAAAAAAGAGAGAGAAGAGAATTGAATTAGTCCAAAAATCAAAGACCAAAAATAGTAATGGAGAATCCAATTTGAAGACTTAGCCATAAAAAATTAGAAATTGGAAAACCCTAAATTGTCTTTCATCATTTTACCTTATATATGTCTAGCACTTGCACCTAACCAGCAAACCTACGTACAGAGAGTCCAATTCGGCAGCAACCACAATTGTTGAGAAATGGAAAGAGTGAGATTGTGCTAGATTGATGGATGGTGATGAGAGAGTGAAGAGATTGTGAGTTATGGCTTTGGTGAGATTTTAGCCTTTTAGGGTAGAGTTAAAACTTAAAAGCAAAATGTAAAGGGAAGTTAAAACGACGTTGTTTTGTTTAAAAATGTAAAATCTGAATCGGATACGAATATCTGGTTGTTTAGAATGGTTGATCCGTATCTGATCTGGATATTTGGACTTTTAAATTATTACTATCCGAATTCGATTCGAATTTTTGGATATCTAATTTTTTCAGATCGGATTTCAGATAATTTTGCACAACCCTATGTAGAGCACCCATAGGTCAAATATCCAAATTCATCATAAATCACTAAATCAAAATGTAAACTAACATAGTGTAATGACATAAACTTTGGACAAAAGAGAAAAAATATCTTTAAAATGACATAAACAGAAACCTCAACTTCTCTCTTTTTCGTATCCATCTCAGCATCCACTGCATCTGTATCCTTCTCAACGACAATTGTTGTCATCTTTTCATCCACGTCTTACATCATCACAAATCAAAATTCATCTTTTCATCCGCGTCTTGCATAATTGCAGATCAAACTTCACATATACAGAAGTTCAGTATCACTTTGATATTTTCATTAGTGCCTTTAGCTTGCAAAAAAAGAAATGGAAAACTAATTCATAAGCGCTGATCTGACCAAAAAAAACACAAACCTTGAACAATGAGCCTTTAAAGCCTTACTACTTTCAGCAACACTCTCCCTCTTCATTGAAGCAATATCCTGTAAAACCCAATTAAAATTTTAAAAGATGATACCCATAAATTATCAAAACATATTCAACACACAACATAAAAACTGCATCTCTCTTTTTCTACCTTAACATCCTCTTTAACATTTTCACTAGTGCCTTTAACTTGCAGAAAAGGAAGAGAAAACTAATTCATAAGCATTGATCTGACGAAAAAAACACAAACCTTTGAATGAGTGAATGAGTGAATGAAGCCTTACTAATTTCAGAAACTCTCTCCCTCTTCATTTAAGCAATATCCTGCAAAACCCAATTAAAAGTTTAAAAGATGATACTTAGAAATTATCGAAATATATTCGACACACAACATGAAAATTGCATCTATGTTTTCCCAACTCAACATCCTTTTTAACATTTTCATTAGTGCCTTTAACTTGATGAGTTTGTTGAGAAGCAAGTTGACAAAAGAAGAAGCAAGTTGACGAAGAAGAAGTTGAGCTATGAGAATTAGTTATGCTGAGTGCTGAGCTAGATGTTTTAGTTAAGAGTTTTATTTTTCTAGTTAGAGTTAGTTAAGCGGTTATTCTACAAGTTGTATATATATGTATATGGATGTAAATGTTGAAAAAATAAGAAGATTGTATTTTCTCTTCTCTTCATTTACTTTCAGTTCTTCCAAATATATTCTTAACATGGTATCAGAGCCTTGATCTAAGGCCTGAAATTCTTGTTCAAACATCAAAATTTTCACCAAGATCTGGTACTGATCTGCCATTAAATTTCAATTCGGTCTTTGTCAAAATTTTCAATTCTTTTAGTTTGTTCTTCCTCACTCAACTATTAAGCCAGTTCGACGTCAATGGAAACTGAAGGAAATGAAAACATCTCAACTGGAACTGGTTCTCAGAATAATCAAAATTCATCATCAGTGGACTTCAATCATCCCTTGCACTTACATCCCTCGAATACTCCAGGTTCTATCTTAGTTTCTTTTCAACTCATTGGAGTAGAAAATTACTCACTATGGAGTCGATCAATGAAAATAGCGTTACTTGCTAAGAACAAAATAGGCTTTATTGTTGGAACTTATAAAAGAGTCACAGTTTCAATTAACTTGCAACAACAGTGGGACAAGTGCAATGCCATTGTGCTCTCTTGGATTATGAACTCTGTTAGTAAAGAATTGTTGAGTGGTATAATCTATGCTCCTAATTCACATCTGGTATGGCAAGATTTAAAAGAGAGATTTGACAAAATCAATGGTTCAAGGATTTTTCAATTATACCGAGACATTGTTACTTTAGCACAAGGAACTTCAACTATATCCACTTATTATATTAAACTCAAACTTTTATGGGATGAATATGGATCTATTATATAGCTACCTACATGTGAATGTGAGATGTCAAAAACCTATGTGGAACATATGCAGAATCAAAAACTTCTGCAGTTTCTCATGGGACTGAATGAGACATATGTGCAAGCAAGAGGACAGATCTTGATAATGAATCCACTGCCTAGTATCAACCAAGCTTATTCCATGCTTGTGACAGAAGAGAGTCAAAGGAGCATAACAGGATCTACCGCATCAGAATCTTCCCTGGAATCCACTGTCTTGTACTCATCGTCATCATCACAGCAACAGTCCAAGGGAAAGAAAATCTGGAATATTACTTGTGAACACTGCAATGTGAAAGGTCATAAGAAAGAAAATTGTTACAGGCTCATTGGCTATCCTCCTGACTTCAAGTTCACCAAAAAAAAATTCACAGGAAATCAATCTTCAGTCAATAATGTTTCAGCCCCATCTACTAATCATGCAGAGCCTAACAATTCAGGATCTACTGCTCTAGTATTCTCTAAGGAACAATATGAAGAGATCCTCAAACTCTTGAACAAAGATTCAACTACTTCTACAGCAGATGGAATGGTGAATATGGCAGGTATAAAATGTTTTTTTATCTTCACTAGGTGAGAAACAATCCTGGATTCTAGATACAGGGGCTAGTCATCATATGTCTCCTTGTATTGATCTATTATCCGAATTAACATCTTCACATGTTTCTACATCAGTTCGACTGCCTAATGATCATATGTCTAAAGTTTCTCATATTGGATCACATTATCTTGCTGTTGACCAGAAACTTACCAATGTTCTCTATATTCCTGATTTCAAATTCAACTTGATTTTAGTTGCAAAGATGACAAGAGATTTGTCTTGTTTCATCTCTGTTTTTCCTGATTTTTGTATACTTCAGGACCTCTTCAGTGGGAAGGTAAAAGGGATTGGTAGAGAAGCTGAAGGTTTATACTTTTTACTGCCTCTCAAACACCATGCATCACCAGTTGTGCTTCCACATCTATCGGCTGTTCCTAAGGTTCCTCAAGTTTACACAGTACATGAAGATCCTTCTACTTTGCCTAATAATTGTTGTTTATCTTCTGTTGAAATGTGGCATAAAAGACTTGTCCATGTGCCTATTCCCAAATTGAAATATTTTCCTTCAACAAAGCTTACTCAGAATGATATACAATGTGTGGCTGATTGCAGAATATGCCCCTTAGCTAAACAAGTCAGATTACCATTTACTTCAAGTCATACTAGAGCATCTCATCCTTTTGATTTATTGCATATAGATGTTTGGGGCCCTTATGCTCATCCCACTGTTGATCATCATAAGTTCTTTCTCACTATTGTAGATGATCATACAAGAATCACTTGGGTTTTCTTAATGAGACATAAGTCAGAAACCATACTCCATCTTCGAAATTTTTTTTTGCTGGTCCAGAATCATTTGTCTGCTTCTATCAAAGTCATTAGATCAGATAATAGGGGAGAGTTTTTTAGCACTAATTGCACTGAGTTGTTTACATCCTTGGGCATCATTCATCAGAGTTCTTGCATTTACACCCCCCAACAGAATGGGGTGGCAGAACGCAAACACAGGCACCTGCTGGATGTTGCTAGATCCTTGAAAATCCAAGTTGGAATTCCCCTTCAATACTGGGGAGACTGCATTCTTATTGCCTGTTATTTGGTGAATAGGTTATCCTATCTTGTTTTAAGCAACAAGTCCCCTTATGAAATGTTGCATGGCACATTACCACCAATTGCTCATCTTCGGGTATTTGGTTGCCTTAGTTATGCAACTCATTTCACTTCCACAGATAAATTTGCTAATAAAGTTATTCCAGCAGTTTTCATGGGATACTCAGCAACTCAAAAGTGATATAGGTTGCTGAATTTGGAAACTAACATGTTTTCTGTCAGTAGAGATGTAAAGTTTGTTGAGCATGTTTTCTCATTTCTTTCTCAATCTTCTTCAGTAGCTCTGCCTCCTTATCATTCCCCTTCACCTGCATGTCCTGATGATTGTGAGTTCTATTACAACTTTTTACCAATAGATGCATCACACTAGCCTTCTCCACTAGAAAATTCACCTGTACCACCTGCTTCATCTGAGTCTTCTGAACATGTCCCTTCTCCTGCTATTTCATCGCCTACTATACCTCCTCCAATCCTTAGAAGATCCTCTAGGACTGTTAAACCCCCTATTTGGCTTACTAATTATGTCTCTCCTGCTGCTCATTATGCAATCACCAACTATGTTTCTTACAAACATCTTACACATTCATATCAATGTTTTCTCACTGCTATCTCTCAAATACATGAGCCTACTACATATGAAGAAGCTGCTCAGGACTCCAATTGGGTGGCTGCCATGCAGGCAGAATTAGCTACTTTAGAGGCTAACAAAACATGGACTTTAGTTCCTCTTCCACCAGGCAAATCTGCCATAGGATGCAAGTGGGTATTTAAGGTCAAGTATCACTCTGATGGCAGCCTTGAGAGGTACAAGGCACGACTTGTAGCCAAAAGATACAGCCAATAGGAAGGCATTGACTATACTGACACATTCAGTCCAATTGCTAAAATGGTAACCGTAAGGAGTGTCTTGGCTTTACCATCTATTAATGGTTGACCACTTATGCAAATGGACGTATATAATGCATTTTTACAAGGGGATCTTTTTGAGGAAGTTTACATGGAATTACCTAAAGGTTTTCGCAATCAGGGGGAGCCATTAGTCTGTAGATTGCTCAAATCCTTGTATGGATTAAAGCAAGCCAACAGACAGTGGAATATCAAGCTGACAGAAGCATTGATCAAACATGGATATCAGTAGAGCAAATATGACTACTCTCTATTTACTAAAAGGAATGGCAATAAGATAGTGATTTTATTGGTTTATGTAGATGATCTTTTAATCACTGGAAATGATCAAGAGATGCTACAAGACTTGAAATCTGTTCTACAAAGGAACTTCAAGATAAAAGATCTTGGTGAGCTGAAGTACTTCCTTGGCATTGAGATTGCTAGATCAAATGAAGGATTGATTATGAGCCAGAGGAAATATGCGTTGGAACTCATATTAGAAGCTGGACTAGCTGATGCAAAGCCTGCCAAGACTCCACTTGAACAGAATTCAAAACTTACTTCATTCAAATATGATCAACAGTTTGAACCTACATCAGAGGATAAGCTGCTAAAAGATTCATCCATTTATAAGAGGTTGATTCGTAGGCTGCTTTATTTGACTATGACAAGGCCTGACATAGCCTTTTCTATTCAAACACTTAGTCAATACATGCATGCACCTAAAGAGTCCAACTTAGAAGCAGCATTAAGGGTTGTTAGGTATATTAAACAAAGTCCTGGTCTGGGGTTGTTAATGCCCTCAAGTAATGAAATGAAGCTTGTTGCATATTGTGATTTGGATTGGGGAGCTTGTCAGATGAGTAGAAAATCAGTGAGTGGATATTGTGTTAAGCTTGGAGAGTCTCTTATATCGTGGAAGTCAAAAAAACAGAGTACTATAGCTAGATCATCTGCTGAAGCAGAATACATAAGCATGGCAGCATGTATATCTGAGATAATCTGGTTACTTGGTTTGTTTGATGAATTAGGAGTAGAAGGAATAAAACCTGTGTTGTTACATTGTGATAACAAAGCTGCATTACAAATAGCAGCCAATCCAATGTATCATGAGAGAACAAAACACATTGAGATTGACTGCCATTTTACAAGAGAAAAAATCCAGCAAGGAGTCATACGCACAGAGTATATTACAACTGGAAATCAGATTGCAGATATTTTAACTAAAGGTTTAGGTGTACAACAGCATGAGAAATTAATAGCCAAACTGGGTATTAAAGATATCTACAAAGTTTCAACTTGAGGGGGAGTGTTGAGTTTGTTGAGAAGCAAGTTGACGAAGAAGAAGCTGAGCTGTGAGAATTAGTTATGCTGAGTGCTGAGCTGGATGTTTTAGTTAAGAGTTTGTTATTTTTCTAGTTAGAGTTAGTTAAAACGATTATTCTACAAGTTGTATATATATGTATATGGATGTAAACGTTGAAAAAATAAGAAGATTGTACGTTCTCTTCTCTTCATTTACTTTTAGTTCTTCCAAATATATTCTTAACATAACTTGCAAAAAAGAAAGAGAAAACTAATACATTAGCGTCGATCTAACGAAAAAAACACAAACCTTCAAACGAGCTGAATGAGTCTTAAAGCCTTACAACTTTTAGCAACTCTCTCGCAATATCCTGCAAAAACCAATTAAAATTTTAAAAGATGATACAAACAAATATGAATTATAAACAAGTTATAAAAATAAATGTTCATGAAATATTAGATAGTTGAGAGAATAGAAATGCTCAGAGATTTATAGTGGTTCAAAGCTTTATTTACAAGCCTCCTACATCCACTTCTTCAAGGCAACCTCTTTAAATGTCCACTAGAATTGGATTGCGCCCTTTACACTAGTTTTACAGGTTTTCACCTCATACAATAGTTTGACAGGATTTCACCTCTAGTTTTATAGGATTTCGCCAATCAATATCAAGGATAAGTGTTTGTGACTGATTTGCCTCACAAACTAGGCTTATAAACAACAATAAGAACAAAAATACTCTCAAAGGTTTTCAATATGAGTACAAGTGAGAGTTAATGATTTGGATTTTTAGCTCAAGAGATTATGTGAGAATGTTCTCTGAATGATAAGTCTTTTTTGCTTTATTCTCTTTGCAATAAATCGCTCTATTTATTGTTTGTCTCTAGCCTTTGAAATAAAGAGTCGCTGCAGCATTTAATGCTCTTCTAAAAAGCCTATAATAGCCAAAGGAACGGTTGTTCCACCATCGCAAACGGTCATTCCTGACATAACGAATACTTTTGCTTAGCTATAGGTTTTATGGAATGATCGTTCCACCTTCACGAATGGGCATTCCATCATCACACACAGTCATTCTACCAAATGGAATGGTCGGTCCATTAGCTCTTTGAAATCCATAAAAATTCTAGAAGCATGCATGACTTCCTAGAACATTGACCTTCTACCAAGAAACGATCTTCGATTAGGAACGGTCATACGACGTGGTCATTCCCATTGAAACACTTGTACTTCAAACTTATTCTTCAAGATTGACCTTTAAAAATTGTCAAGGGCACGAAATCAGTCGAATTTGAAATGTCTTAACTTGATTTGAACGATTGTGTAGTTTGGTATTGCCACTTGGAGTGACTAGACATAATTTTGGTAGAAGGATGCATGATCATCTAGAACGAGGTCATTATGTGTGGAATGTTTATCAGGGTAGCTCATGAGATTGGGAACAATCATGCCTTTTTTGTTCACGATCATACTATCTGGAAAATTTGCATTTTGTTTTGGTTATGACTCTTGTCATAACTTTGCATGTTTGTTAGTATCCAATCAACTTTTTTATTAGTTTTGACATATCAAAACACATGAGTGCTCAGTGGCTTAACATACAAGAAAGTGTCTATATTGAGAACATCCCTCTTGTCCATCATTGCTAGTTGCTACAACTACACCAAGACTCCTCTCAACATAAATTTTAATGGTATTAAATCTGCAATTAAAAGGTGAATCAAAAGTTGACTTATGATGAGAGAAATTGTTGAAGGAAGAAACACTGCTTATTGGTCCATCGCTTTTCTACAAAAACTGTAACAATCAAAAGACAAGAAAAAAAATTAACAAAAAATGTTCACAATCCATTTCAAGATTGACAAAGATTGACTAATTAATGATTAAAGATTGACAAAGATTGGCTAAGTAACAAAAAGAAAACTAGGACAAGGACTCACCGGGAAGAACTCTCTTGATGAAAGTTGGAAATAGAGATGGCAATGGACCGGGCCGGGCTGGGACTAGGTACCCATTAGCCCGGGCCTGGACCGAACCCCCATGACTTTGCCCGAGCTCGGCCCAAGCCCATTGCATGAATGTCGGGTAATGCTTAGGCCCGACCCAACGAGCTTTTTGTGACTCCTAGTTGCGGTCCATGTTAATTTCTATAATTTTTTTTCTCATAGGTAATCTTTTATATATTTTTCTATCATTCATATTAATTTCATTAATAGGATATATGTCTTACTTTAATCACCTTACTTTTTGTGTGTATAGATTAATATGATGGATAAGGGATATTGGGTTTAACTAAAATTTTAATTGATTGTTATCATAAATTCATTTCAAAATCATAATGAAATAAAATAATCTTTTTTAAATGATAAAAACCTGGACCGGGCCTTAAAACCATACCCAGGCCCTTGCCCATCCCCACAGACAATGGGTATTGTACGAGCCAGGCCAGGCCAGGTACTCGAAAATCTATCTCTAGTTGGGAAGAACTCTATTGGTGAAGGTTTCTCTATTTGTTGGGTGTAGAGGTCTGGCAATTCTCAGTACTCTCGGTTTCCTCTAAGTAAGGTTTTGTTGTAATTGTAAGTACTATGTTATATATATACAAGCAATTCCTAGCTCTTAAATGTGGCCTAACATTTATTGGTTGCAACTCACAAGCCCTTTTAAAACCCAATAAGGCCTCTTTAAACAACTGGTGCTCATACAAAACCCTACCAATGGCCATATGCCTATCAACAGCTTCCTCTTTTGAGTGTCGACCTAGCCCCATATGCTCTATTTCTCAAAGCCCCCAATTCCATAACAAAAACTGCGTAGTCATGTCCCGACCCTTCCCCAAATACCATTTCTCTGATAATTCAGCTGAAGGTCCCAATTCTCTTGACCATCCTGCGTTTTAATATCACTTGCTTAGCTTTCAATCTTTTCACCCAAATCTCCAAATCATCCACAATCTTCCACGTGTCATCAAACCCTATACCGTGATTCAGCGAAACCGCCCAAGCTGCCATTCTTAGTATCTTTTCTGACTCAATTGCCTTTTCATCAACAATTGACGACGAAGAAGCTTCAAATGCCTTTGAAACACCTTTGCTTTCATCTAAATTCAGCTGAACCCCCAACATGTCAAAGTCTCGGTTTACGTCACTAGTGCCCTCATCATAATAAGTATGAGCACTTCGTCGAGGATGGTGTTGATTTTTTCATCGCTGAATTTGATTCTAGGGTTTACAGCCACCAGTAGAGCATCTATTTCTTCTTTGTTAAGGCTACCGTCGCAATTTGATTCGAGTTGTTGAAAAAATCCTTTTACCATCTCTAATCTGCTTCTTCTTGCACTCATTTTGAATTAAAAAAAGAAAAAAAAAAAAAAAAAACCTTATTATTAGGGTTTGAAGAAGGGGACGAGGAGTAGACAAGAAATTGAGTGAGGACAGGAATAGATGAAGTAATCCAATTGATATCCAGTCCTTTTAAACTGGGATATGGATTTGGTTCAAACTAACTGGGATATGGATTTGGTTCAAACTATGTAAATCGGCCGCACATAGATAAGCCTATCTTGATCCATCATGAAGACCCAATAGGCCCATCAAATTCCATTCTCAAACTGAAAGACCCAATATTAAGAATTGAGCTTTATTACAAGTGTTTATTAGTGACATAAATTGATGATTTTTCCTTTCCCCTTTTAATTTCGATAAATCGGTCAAAGTTGTATAGTTTCAATTTATTTCCCTTCCCATGAAGATGCCTGAGCCCTGATTTTTGTATATATTTTGCAGTCTTGAAATATAGTATGTACGTGTTTGAAATATATATATTTTTATTTAATTAGATGGCCCTGATACTAAATTGTTGACATTTTAATATATAGTATGTATGTGTTTGAGAAAATATGATCAATTTTCATTAGAACTGACCTCATGTACGTTTCTACTTCAATTTATAATTGAAGATAGGGATGATTAACAATAAAATTTGAGGCTCCCTTTTGCTTCAGGAATGAACAACAATCCTCGTGTTAGGTTTGTCTGCTATCCAACCNCTTACATCCATACCTCTATCAATGGAATCGCTTTCTCATTAGCTAGATGCTCATTCTCATATTCGTTTGTGCGACTGAAAGAACCAAGAATTTTTTCATCCTTGATGAAAGTGAAAACAGCAGCAATAACAGCGAAGACTAGTAGCAAACAGCAGCAATAACAGCGAAGACTAGTAGCAAAACCGGCGTTGTATAATTGTTGTTGATCTTGATGCCCAAAAATGCCACAAATGTGGCAATCAACTGAACAACTGAGAAGCCAATCTCCACCACCCCAAGTTGTTTCTCAGCATGTACTCTGGTACTTTCCAGCACACAAGTCAAAATCGTCATGGAAAAACCAAGTACTGATAAGAGAAATGCCACAAGAAGGATACTCCTGTTGCTTTGCCCATAGACATCCAAAACCAATGATATTGTTTCCAACAAAACGAAAAACACCGCAAGTGCACGCTTGCGTGCACAAAGTAACTTATATCCCTACAACAATAATTTTGAGAGACTCAAGCTATCTGATATATTCAAAAGCAAAGAACTAAAATGACCCTCTTAAACATTCTTAAAACTGAAAATTTTATGGACACTTTTCTGCATAAACAAAGGAGAAAAATAGAGGAACAAATAAAGACAAAGCTAATAATCTCCACAATCCTTCCCATCAAGTATGGAGGATAAATATATATAGTCCTTAATTTCACAAAAAAGTTTGCTCAATGCTCACCTGGCAGACCAAAGAGCTGATGGGTGAAAAGAGACCGGTGGAGAAGCAGCTTATATCACTCCAAATCACGTCCAATCTTCTTCGGCTACCAGATCTATTTCCTTCAATGTCGTTCATGCTTAATTCTGATATCTGAGGCTCTGAAACACACTGTCAATTCTCTATACTCTGTTACAATACAAAGTAGAAACCGGTGGGAGGGGAAAATAATGAAGGAGAGAGTTCAAGAAA